GTATGTTTGTATTTTATTTCAACCTATGCATACTAGATTTTCAACTACCCGCAGTTGTTGTGATTTTTTGGGGTTTTTTTCGATTTTTTTGGATTTTTTTCATTTTTTCTGAATTTTTCTCCCTTTTTCTTTAACGGAATTTAACAAACAGCTGATGAAAATTAACAAACCGGACTTAGCAGACCGGATGGCATCTTTGAGTGGCCACCTCTATCGTCGTGTTCGTCGATAGACTGACCAAAATGGTCTGCTTCGCAGCCACGACCACTGAGCTCTCCGCAGAAGGAGCAGCTGACCTGTTGGTGCAGAATGTGATAAGGCACCACGGTCTCCCCTCTCAAATAGTGTCCGACAGAGACGTTTTGTTCACTTCCAGGTTTTACCGGTACCTGGCCGAGAGGTGGAAGATTCAGCTCAACATGAGCACTGCGTACCATCCACAAATGGATGACCAGACTGAAGTCATGAATCGGATTCTGGAGAATTACTTATGCAGCTATACGCGTTCTGACCATGACGCGTGGGATGAACTGTTAGCCATGGCCGAGTTTGCAATGAACAACTCGAAAAAACAGTTCCACCCAAGAGACTAGAGGTGGCCACCCGAATCCATTAATAGCGGACAGAGGTTAATTTCCATTAATTTTCTGTTAATTAACAGAAAATAACGAAAAACGATAAAAATTAACCAAAAATTAACGGATTTTTGGATTTTTTTGGGATTTTTGGGTTTTATTCATATTTATAGTTTATGGAATTCGCTATTAGAGAGTATGTTTGTATTTTATTTCAACCTATGCATACTAGATTTTCAACTAGCCGCAGTTGTTGTGATTTTTTGGGTTTTTTTTCGTTTTTTTTGGATTTTTTTCGTTTTTTCTGAACTTTTCTCCCTTTTTCTTTAACGGAATTTAATGGACAGCTAATAAAAATTAACGAACCGGACTGAACGGACCGGATGGCATCTTTAAGTGGCCACCTCTACAAGAGACCCCGTTCTACTTGAACTACGGTCGACACCCAAAGAGTCCCTTAGCTCTTGGGGTGCAGATTCGGAAGCCTTTGAAGGGCTATGACAATCCGAATGCCCGTGGCTTGGCAGTGGCCATTGATAGGGCGCAACAGCCTTATTTATGGCATACTGGTACACCCCTCGTGGAGGGCCTACCAGCCGTGACACGATTTGATCACCGTGTCCAATCAGCACTGAAAGAGGCCAGGGCGTGCTTAGAAAAAGCACGAGATAGGCAGTCAAAGCATGCGGACCGCCATCGGAGGGATGTGTCGTTCAATAAAGGAGATGACATCCTCCTTTCGACACAACATATTACCCTCAAACACCCTGGAACTCGAAAACTATTACCGAGGTGGATTGGGCCCTTCACCATCCTCGACCGGATAGGGCCTGTCGCATATCGACTGGAACTTCCGGAAAGCATGCATAAGATACATCCAGTATTTCATGTGTCAAAGATTAAGCCGTATAAGGCCAGTGGCAGAGTACAACCACCTCCAGTCCCTATCGACATCGAAGGGGAACTGGAATATGAAGTTAAACGCATTTTGGACAAAAGAATTAAAAAGCGCGGAAGGCGCCAAAACTCGGTAGAGTATCTTATCAAATGGCAGGGATATGGGCATGAGCATAATAGCTGGGAATCAGCAAAAGCCGTTGCCAATGCACAGGAATTGGTTCAAGCGTTTGAAAATGGAAGAACTCCTGTCGTGCATGTGTCAACTGATCGCAGTACGAAACGTACACATTGAAGTAAGCTCATGTGTGGTTATGCCTTTGACAGGTCTTGCTGAAGTGGGCCCAGAAGCAGATTGGGTATACCGGGCCCCGTACCCGTATGCTGTTTGGACATATGAATGCAATGTCCGCAACTATCTTGAACGGGGAAAGGTTGGCCACAGAGCAGCCATTGATACAACCTCCGCGAGAGCCAGTTCGTGCCCGTGGGCGAGGACGAGGTCCATATTCGCGGGGTGGTCATGGTTGGGCAGCGGGTGGCCGCACGTATCGGGGTAGGGGACATGCAGAGTAACCTGCATGTTCCACATCGTTTCCTTGGACACACATAGGCCGGAAGGTCAGAACATTGCAGCCGACGAGCTGAACGAAGAGTTTTAATGAGGGCTGTCAAAGGCCGGCAGGTCATGTAAAACAACCACTCTTTCTCTTTACCACAATTTGTATAATGTATGTATGATTATCGTGCAAACTGGGCATGTGGCTAATTGCACAGCCAGTTGCCATATACATACATAATGTTTCTGCTCCCGTATCCACGCATTGGGATGAGGACGCCCCTCTCCCTGAGGGGGACGAATGTTACGCGCACCAGCCTGATGTGGGGGACGCCCTACTAATGGTCCTTGGTGTGGGGGACGCCCTGCCCAAGATAACTATCCTCAATCCATAGTAACCATTCTAGGTATTAGGATACAGGAGTAGGAGGGGTGGTCCCGCCTAGGTCCCCGTAAGGACCTAGGTGCCCGGCGAGGTGGGTCCGCGGCTCAAAGAGGGCAGGAACCCCACACCCACAGACTTTACGTATCACTGACATTGTACGGGGACTAAAGAAGTGGACAGAGACACGGGGAGTGCCTTTAGTCTTGTTCAGATGTTTGCAAGGCTACACAATCTAAAGAGTTGCAAAGATGGTGTGCGCAGAAGGGAGTGACACAGGAATATTCTCCTCCCTATCATCATGCCTCTATTGGATTTGTGGAGCGGTTCAACCAGACTCTGTTGAACCGTCTGCGGCGGATGTGGGCAGAGGAGCCCAAGTACTTTGCAAGGATAGTCGAGCGAGCGGTGGACATCTATAATAGTACCCCTCTCTCTTCGGTGGAAGAAAGCAAAGAGACACCCAACTCCTTTGTGTTTGGATCACCAAATCAATTGTGGAATGGTTCACAGATTGTGTGGCATCGATTGCGAGAATATGCGCAACGACAGCGAGCACAAGCAAACCATAGGACGAGGGGACGACGCATCCAACGGACATTCAGAGCAGGAGACCAAGTGTGGCTATGGAACACAAAGGTTGACACATTGAAGGACAAGCTCGAGCCGTGGTGGAAGGGTCCAGGTAGACGTGGCCGCTCAGACTTTTTTCTGTTATTTTACTTCTGTATTTTTTTTTCAAGACAAAAAATCCGTCCGTCACTTTTCTGTTGTTTTGCTGGGGCCGGTTTTCTGTAGCCGTTTATGCCACGTCAGCTTCCAGTTTTTTGGCTCTGGAGATGTCCCTCAAGGGGTTGTTTGCAGCCACCAATTTCTGTAAAGATGTTGTTTTTTCCGTTGCCTTTCCTGGCATTCCATTGCCATCCGTCATGGACTTTGAGATTCTGGAAGCTTGTCGCGAATAGAGGCGTGGTCATGACGTCCAGGAAAACTGGATGTGCCTTGACAAAGTGCCGCCCGACATGCCATTCAGCTATTTTCCATTCTTCAATTGACTCGATTGGCAAATTATTAATACTTAGCTCAGGCCCTTCCCGGCAGTGATCGCTGCCGGTACTCGGCCGTAGCAGCACACACACAGGACACATCATCACGGCGTACTATAAATCATAAGTGCGGGCCCTTCCCGGCAGCGATCGCTGCCAGTACTTGGCTGGAGGCAGCACACACACAGAACACATCATCACCGCATACTATAAATCATAAGTGTGGGCCCTTCCCGGCAGCGATTGCCATCGATTTTTTATGGAATTCTGTCGATCTTTGTGGTCCGGTCAGCGGCTCTGTTGCGGGGGCCTATCATCCGTAGATGGCGGCGCGCATTCTGTAACACGTGGTTCCATTCTGTAAGGATGTGTGGATTTCTGTAGCTGTCTATGCTGACGTCAGCATGGCCCTACCCTTTCTGTAAAACGCTTTTTTTCTCTGTGGCTCCCTCATAAATTCTGTTGATTGTACAAATTTTAACGGAGCCAAACAAATTCTGTTGGGGACGGACAGATGGGGCCACCTCTAGGTCCAGGGCAGCTGGTTTGCCCTATCACAATGTCAGTGTGGGAAGTTCGAGGACCAGAGGGGAAGCTCTGGGTTAGACACACGGATATGATTCGGCCGTATCGAGATGGGATCTAAAGGGATGATGTTTTAGGTCATGTTAAATTTAGCGCAGGGAAGCGTGTGAGGATGAGAGAATACATAAGTAATTATATGGAGTATGGTGTTTTGTTGGCGAGTTCAATAGGGTGTTAAATATGGTGATGTTGGTAATGATTGGCTGGAACATGGAGGGGATGCACTTGCTGTGAACACTACATGACTGACACAATCATTCTGTAATCCATCTGGTTGCGGCTTTGCTTCCCGTGCCTGGGAGGGCGACTGCCTGCGAGCGTACGCACCGGACGCGGATAACCTAACACCCACCATTCCTTGATCGTTCAGTACATTTGTGAATTGATCATGACGATCGACTTGCACGCCCAGTTCTGCCAATTCCTTGATCACTCAACACATTTGAGAATTGACCACGTCCTTAAACTTGTGCGCCCCGCAATCTTGCCAGCACGACCAACGCCGCTGTGAAAACATTGCCGCCGCCCACACACCCGGGAACAAGCATTTACACCCTTCCTTGCTCACCCAGCCAACCCCTTCTGTACACCCACTGTCCCCGCAAACGGCGGAACCGCCCTTCCCAACCAAGCGTCCTTTTGTTACACGCACCGCCAAGGCCTTTTTCTTTGTTACACGCACCTTTATCTCTGCGCTCGCCACCTGCAAAAGCGGCCACAGGCCACACACACACCCTGTGCAAATGCACGGCCCCGGTCCGACCACTTTGCTTGCTCCGCCCGATCATTGCACGAAAACTTTGCTAAATTTTGGCAGTTTTGGGCAGGCGTCGCCGTCGCAGCGGCTAAGGCGCGAGGCCCACGACGCTGAGCACGTGGCTCATAGGCCGCCCTTGCTGAAGAACCTCCTCAAGCCGGTGCGCTTGCTGCCGTCGTTGGGGGAGTGCCGGCCGCTCTCAGTGGCCCCCCTGCGAACCATGGCAAACACACAGATGGCTAAGGAACCCTCATTCTAGTTGAGAAGAATCATTATCATTCGCTTTTACAGAACAAGACAAAAAGGATTCTGAGGAGCATTCTACTTGGGAAGCACCCTCTGACTGACCGACCGAAAATGCGCCTGACTAAATTTTTGAAGCAGGTTCTGATCGGCCGACAGAAATGGGGCAGACACTCTGATGCGGCGACAAGAAATGAGGCCAAACAGCACAGGAGAGTAGAAAGATCAGAGGCTATTCACCTTGAAAAAACAGCACCATGGGACGTGCATAAAGGGGAAAGAGCTCGTGCTGGCTCTCAAACGGCAAGATGCCACAAAGCATTGGGTAGCGGCGAGACAGCTGACCAAAGTACAACAAGGAAACAAAGAGAAAGGCCACACCACAACAACGGTTCAAAGGCAACACTGTAAAGACAGTCGGTGCACAACAGACGCATAGAGCAGGGCAGGTTTTACTTTCCTCCGCAACTCTCAATTTATATCTTCTTTCAAATTTTCAAATGCTCGCTCCTCAATTTCTTTTCTTTCTGTTGGATCTCTGTTCGGTTGCAATTGCACAAGGGGGGCGAACAGACGAGATGAAATGAGACCAGATAAAACAACGTTTCAGACGTGTGCATGTACGTGATGACCAGGAGGTGTAAATGCCCTCTATTAGCTTTCGAAGGGCAAAGCATGCCCATATTTGTTCATAACACAAGGATCCAGCAGCTTTATCCCCAATCATTGGCCAGAGGGCAAAGCGGGTGGTTGGATAACCACAGGCCCAACATGTACTTAGGAGATAGCGGTACACCACAAAGCACTTAGCCCTGTACAATCCATTCCTCCAGTGCATCGGCAACACACCAATTCTGGATAATTCGACGCATTCAGCACATGTCTCCATCACATCGGCAAGCACCCACTTTACAGGACATTGCAAGTCGGATGCAAGTCGTGAGCATGCAGGTGTGGTAAATGTTCGAGTTCCGGCCAAAACACAAGCGCGTGCACAGATGCAGGCCCTGCTAAGGAACAAAACAGGCAATGCCTTCTCACCTCGTCAGCCTGGGCTACCGAGGCGCCCTTTCGCAGCAGCAACGCCACAGTGTTTATGTGGCCTTTCCGTGCTGTCCATATGAGGGCTGTTGAGATATCCTGCGCATTCCACACAATGACAAGGATTTCAAAGTGTGCGCAGGACCCAACCACTTGACTATAGCACCAGCATGGGTCAAAGCGCATCTCCAACACACCAGTCTTGGATGGTTTGAAACATTCAGCATAGACCTCCATCAGATGGTAAAGCGCCCACTTAACATCAGGACACTACAAGTCGGATGCGAGTCCCAAGCAGGCAGGAGTACCAAATGTTCAGGTTGTGGACAAAACACAAGCGCGTACACAGATGCAGGCCCTGCTGAGCAGGAAACGTTGGCTCACCTGGTTAGCCTGGTCCACCGATGCACTCTTCTCCAACAGCAGTGCCACAGTGCTCATGCAACCATTGTTTGCTGCCCAAGCGAGTGCCATTGAGCCGTGCTGTGCATTACACAGAGAGACGAGAATGTTGAAGGGTTCCCAGGGCCTAAACCACTACACTCGAAGCAGTGTACATCGAATCGCGACTCTGACACACCAGTATTGGACTGTTCGACGTATTCTGCACAGACCTCCATCATATCGGAGAGCGCCCACCTAACACCAGGACACACCAAGTTGGAAGCGAGTACCCAGCAGACAGCAGTAATAGATGTTTGAGTTCTGGACAAAACACAAGCACATGCACAGATGCAGGCCCTGCTGAGGAAGAAGACAAGCAATGCTGTCTCACCACGTTGACCAGGTCCACCGATGCGCCCTTTTCCAGCAGCAGCGCCACCGTGCTCGTGTGACCATTCCGTGATGCCCAAATCAGGGCCGTTGAACCATGCTGTACACAAAACACACAGCGATAATTATGGCAAAGGACTCTCAGGACCCAAACAACTTTACTGGCACAAGCATGCGTCAAATCGCATCTACAACACCCCAGTTTGGACGGTTTGACACATTCAGTACAGACTATCATTAGACCAGAAATCGCCTACCTAATATTTAGTATGGTATTCAACCTTCCGCATTTCGAAATTTCACCACTACGCTTTTTGCTCCGCATTTTTTCTCATGGCGTTAAATACGTTTTCAATGTTGCTCTGGCAAAACTGTACTTAATGTTTCTCTGCAAAAAAAGCCCAAGCATTACGTTACCGTGCGGAAGGGTTTAATAAACTAGGGTAGGTAACAACATGACACGAGCAGTTGGACAGGAGTCCCGAAAAAGCAACCATACTGATTTTTCGGATTGCGGACAAAACCAAAGCACGTTCATAGATGGAGGCACTGGTGAGGAAGAAGAAGGCACAGCTGCCTCACGTTGCTAGTCTGATCCACTGATGCACCCTTTTCCAAAAGCAGCGCCACAATGCTTGTGCAGCCATTCTGCGCTGCCCGAAGGTCCATTGAGCTGAGCTGTGCATAACACACAAGGACGAGGATCTCAAGGGCTCTCAGGACGCTCACCCCTTGACCAGCACCACTATGTGTCGACTCGAATCTCCGCAACAACAATTTTGGACGGTTCGACATATTTGGCACAGGCCTCTGACATATCGGAAAGCGCCCACTTAACAACAGGACACTGCAAGATGGACGCAACTCCTGACCATGTAGCAGTATTAACTATTTGGGTTCTGGGTAAAACACAAGCGCGTTCACAGGAGATGGCCCTGCAAAGGAGGAACCCCAGCAACATCGTCTCACCATGTCAGCGTGGTCCACTGATGTGCCCTTTTCCAACAGCAACGCCACTGTGCTCGTGTGGCCATTGTGTGCTGCTGCCACGAGGGCCGTTGAGCCGAACTGTGCAGCACTTGCAACAACAAGGATGTCAAAGGGCCCTTGGGACCAAACCACAGCACTAGCACCAGCATGAGTCGAATCCCATCTCCAACACTACAATTTTGGTCGGTTCAACACATTTGGCGCAGGCCTCTGACATATCGGAAAGCGCCCACTTAACAACAGAACACTACAAGATGGCCGCGGCTCCTGACCATGTAGCAGTACTAAATGTTTGGGTTCTGGGCAAAACACAAGCGCATTCACAGGTGATGGCCCTGCAAAGGAGGAGACTCAGCAACGTCGTCTCACCTCGTCAGCGTGGTCCACCGATACGCCATTTTCCAACAGCAACGCCACTGTGCTCATGCGGCCATTTAGTGCTGCCCAAATGAGGGCCGTTGAGCCTCCCTGTGCATCATGTGCAACAACAAGGATGTCAAACGACCCTTGTGATCCAAACCACAGGACTAGCACCAGCATGAGTCGAATCGCATCTCCCACGCAAATCCCGTCACAATCTTTCCTTGCCCCCTTCCAGCAGGCCAGGATTGAAATTCGATGCAAGGGCAATGCCGGAATCGTCGATGCACACAGCGGCCTGCCTCCAGAGCGCCGCGCGGACGCCCTGAGCCCGGACTTCCCACAAAGACGCTGCAGTCGCGATAGACCTGCATTGACGTTGGGGCCGCCGCTTCAACCAGGGCAGCTCCGACAATATCCGAATCTCCCCAGAGCCAGCCCGCCCATACCCAATTTTTCTGTGCTTCACCAACATCCGTGCAGGGCCCCATCACCACCGCACACCCACAACCGCCAGCTCGCGTCCGGTCCCCCCCACCCCAACGCCGCGATGGGCTCACGGCCACGCACCAGCCACCCCCAGATGCTCACTTACCGGCCTTCCGCCACCGGTGGCTTCAAAAAGGATTTGCGCCCGCCTGGCAGCGCCGTGCAAGCGAGCCCACGTGTGATTCAAACAGGATCATTGGGTCCTTTTGATGACGATGCTAGGAATGGGTGGATTGAAACTGCCCCATTCTGCTCATACCTTCACCAGTCAGGGCCACACACACGCACACATCACACTCGGATTATCTAGCCACTTTCCCATCCCCTCGCGACCACGGCTTCAATGCTATTCATCAACGTGGATGTCGATTGTGCGTGGACAGCATTCGCCGAAGTGCTGTGGCAAACGACGACCTCACAATGCAACATCCCCTTCCAAACAGTTCCACTTTCTTCCTACATTCGCTAATTCACCGAGTTCCTTTTCCTTCCATCTGGTCTTGCACCCTCTGCTGCAGCTTCCTTCCACTTCTCGCTGATGATTGCTACCCTGTTCCCATGTCACTCCCCTGTACATTCGTCCCCAAGCGTCTCCTTAGTTGGCTTCAACGCAGCCACCACAACTAAAGCCCGTTGTTCTGTTGTATGTAGCACAAATGGTACAGTAGCATTAGCCTATTGCATAGGCCTATGAACCATTCAATGGAAAATTCCCATCCTGGAAATTGTTTGGACCTCTTCCCAATTTCCATGCGGATGATCAAGGGCTCTTCAATGCGAATCAGACGGCAGAAGGATTTCGTCCTTGGGCTTCATTCTTGAGGACTTTCAGCTCACTGTGCAGGTCGCACATCCTTGACATCTTCGAAGGCTTGAGCGACAAACAGCTTTCGATTAAGGACCTCAGCCGTTGAGGGTAGTCACTGGGAAGCTCGTTCAGCAGTTTCTCAGGACCAGTGCCCTGGTGACGATAGTCCATCTCATTTAAATGACACACCAAATTTGGTGGCATCTGCACTGCGAGCTTCCACAGAATCAAGCCAAAGCTGCAGACGTTATTCCTGACAGTACAAGGCTCCCCCCTGTGCAGTTCTGGGGCACAGAGTGAGCCTGTGTGTCGAGTGCATAGGGGTCGAGATGAGGACATCGAGTAGTTGGTGCAAGGGTGTTCGCAAGGTTTCCAGTGTGCCGCGGCTGCGAGCTGTGAGTCATTCTGTGTTGTGTGAATGCCCGTCTGAAGTAACAGCCAGGATGCAACCAGTGAAACAGGAGGTGCATGCATGCACTATGTATACATGTATACATAGTACATACTACTTCCTCTGTCCGGAATTAATTGTCCTCTATTTGAGAGACAAAATTCGTTACAAAGAACACCTTAAATTTACCAAAAAGCATCAGAATCGGAAATATTGGGTTGCAAAACCCTTAACTACCAATTTATAAGAAAAAATAATTAGTCCCACCCCCTCTGGATGGCCCCTAGAATTGGCCGAAAATCGTCCAAAAAGTGTGTGTGCAGATTCCGCATCTGCTAGAGAACCGCACGTTTCTGGGTCACTCCCGTCCTTGGTGCGCTAAAGATAAGTCGTTGTCATCTTTGCAGTGAAGGGCGGTGTCCCTTACGTGGAATAGCGCTTGCTAAACACGCGCAAGCATGTCTGGATCCCCATCGTGGAAGGCCATTATCGCAGTTTTGACGATTATTGAAATCTCGGCCATCGTCGATCTTTGACGTTCGTACATAAACCAAGTGGACAAGGCTAGAGTACATGGTATTCAAGCTTGGGCTATGTGCGAGCTATTGTTCCAAGGTTATGCAATAGACTTGTTTGGATAATCTGCCTCGGTTGAGGCTTGGATCGTTGGTTTTGTGAGGAGCCTGGCCCTCTCCCCACAAACTGCCACTATGTGGCAATTCTTGCATGCAATCCACAATCTGTTGCAGCCCATCAAGTGTGTATACCTTTGAGAGACATAGTTTTATCTATCTAGCTAGTCTTCTCAATCTCAAGCCCTTCAAGTGCCAAAAAATGGTCGATTCGCTACTCTTATCCAGGGGGATCACTGCCTAATTGCCCCTTAATTGCCCCCTAATTATCCACCGCTGAATGGGGTGATGGCCACCACCTTCCTAAAGGTCTGCAAGGAATTTAGGAGGCCTCCTGCAGTATCCCTCATAGTGGAGTTGGAGGTCCAAAAGTCGTGGTTCAGAAATTTGGACCTGAGGGGCATCTCTGATTTGGCCAATCGAACTTGAATTGTAGCCGCAAAACACGGCGACTTCCACGATCACGACTTTCAAGACACATTTTCTGTTGCTCCTTTCCTTTGCTAGCACCTCCATGATCTTCTGTCCAAATGGCGTGGATAGTTATGCCCGGGCGGCTCTGTAGCGCTGCCGCAAAGGCGTGCTCCTCAGAACAGCGAAAATGGCCATTCCAACAGGGATGTGGGTTTCTGGCTAGATGACCCTTGCTATAAAGTACTGCCAAATCCGCAATACTCAACGGATTGACTTGAAAATTTGACTGCATACTCTCAAAACATAGGCATAGTTCTGCAAGAAATTTGAATGAAAAATGAAGTGTCTATGATGGAGAAGTAAGGTACCAAAATCATAGAGGACAATTAATTCCGGACGGAGGAAGTACATACTACACGCATTTTCAGCATGTGTGTTGGCATACCACATTTCTCAGGGAAGTACAGGAGCATGCACCTTGCACTGTTTGCACCAACTATTGGCAATTCCCGTGGACCGTAGGAGCGCTTAGGATGCACGTCCTTGACTGTTTAAATGCACATAAATAGAAGTCGAAAATCAACAAATAGACCCTGTGCACGTGCAACGAGGAAGAAGTCTGCGCGCTATTGACATAAACTAAATGAAGTAAATGCGACGACGCATGTTTTCTTCTGACGATGTGATTGCTAATGAACGCCAGAGGTGTTGTTGGTCAGACAGATCAGATCAAATCGAATCAAAGTAAAGTCAAAGCGAATCGAATCAGCCGCTTCAACAGACGACCTTGGCCGCGCCCACAGAAACCGGTAGAGGCCGCTGACGAGGCAGCCAAGCAGACGGGCAGCGCGGCGGGCAGGCTCAAGAAGCTGTTGACTGCCAAGGACAAGAAGGCCGTGAACCTGGAGATGGTGGGGAACAGCAGGATCGACAGGCCGCTGATGGACCTGCTGGACCAGAGCATAGACAGGCCGATGATGGACCTGCAGCAGGTCACCTACTTGACCAGAACATAGCCATCGCGCGGGGCGCGGACGAGGAGTCCAAGGTTGAGTTCATGGAGAAGCTGCACAAGGCGTGCGCCAAGTACATCATCGAGTCGGAGCCAGCGGCAGTGCCGGACAAGCCGCCACCGCAGGACGGCGGGAGGCCCAGTGGATTGATACTCTGAAGTGCTAATGTGTTGCCCTGGTTCGGAATTTCAGGATGCATGGGATGCCATGTTGTCGCTGCCGACCTGTCTGAAGCCATGCCACATGTTATATGTGGCGTCACACTGAAGCTGTGGGCTCATCGCTGATGTGCGATCGGCTGCTGCGCGTGTTCCGAATTTTTTCATGCACACGAGGAGTGATGCGCCGCCGCCATTTGTCAGGAGATGTGCGGGCCCTTGTGTTGTGAACGTTTTCTTAATTATTTACAAATCAGAGATATGTTTAAAAAACTTGTTTCCGATAGGCTTCATTTCTTTTGGTCAAATTCTCATCAGAGGGGTGCGATTTGGGACTTGTGGGCGATCGCATTGTATCTGCGATCAAGTGGTGAATCCTTCGTTCGTTGGTGGCGGAATCAGTGGCCTTATCGACGGCGGCCATTTTTCTGTCCATGGTTCGTTCAGGCTTGCCAACATCTCAGATGAAGGTACAGACAGGCGCTTTGAGGTGACCCCTCAGGAGCGATTACTCGTTCGCGCAATGCCTGCCACAATTTCTGCACCAGGACCAAGCGCGAATTTCTACAAAGACCAGGAAGGAATTCAGTCATTACTTCGACAACACCTTCGACGTTTCGTTCAATGCTAGAGCCCCAATTCCAAGTGATTGTGTGCCTATTCCTGATTGGGTCAACTTCCGCTCTGGTCATTTTGCGTGTCCTACGCCGCAGCCTTTGGCCTCAGCAAGTTCTGAGTGTCTCTCACCGAATCGTGCTCATGATTCGACTGCATTGGGGCCAGCGGTTTCATCACTGGATGTTGACACAGCAATTGTGCACTTGACGCGTGGCATTGCTCCTGAAAATGGCAGTTTGCCTCCAGTCCTCTTCCTCGACAGCGTGGATGTTCTGCGACCGGTGCTTACTCCATACTTTTAATGATTATAGAATCTGAGGACATTTCGTCGAAGATAGAAACAAGTGGATTCAGATTGCTCATTACTAACTGATTGTCAGGCTGGCTTCAGATCTGAACTTTCAACAAGCGATCGCCCCTTTGCTCTTAGGGCTGCAAACAGAGCCTCATCGTACGCAAAAGCAGCCTCTTCTCTTATCTTTGAGTGGATTCTGTCAAAGCGTACGATTCAGTCAACCACCAAAGATTGTGGAAAATTCTGGATTGTTTTGGGATACCCAAAGTGTACGTTGACATGTGGAAAGCATTGTTTGGGAAAGCAACTTTCTCAATTCAAGTTTTTGCAAAGTGCTCTTCGCCTATCCCTATGCTTAGAAG